TCTTCAACAATCGCAAAGTAATAATAACCCTAAAAATTCATTTTTTTTAAACTTTATTTTATAACAAAAGAGACTAATGACACAATTTAAATGATTTTAATTGAAAAAACTATACATAAATATTAAAAATTGACTTTTTAACTATAAAATATAAATTAAACTCACTGTATTATCATATACAATCTCTTCTCTTAAGAACGTATATTCTCCAGAATTATTATTGAATAAACCCCAGTCCATTTTTACATCCCAAGTGTATGTATAAATTGAACTTATCACAGAACAAATGATCCAAAAGAAAAAAAATGGATTGTCATAACTATCTGCATAATTATCTATAGCAAATTAAAAATATTTTAACTCATTAGAACATAGTTATAAACAATTAACATACAGAGAAAAAAGATTCATTACTTTTTGTTTTTTTCAACAATGCTCTTGCAAATACAACAAAAAACGTTGTTGAATACTTCCCAGCATTAGCTAAATGTGGAAATGTTTCACCAGTATCCCTGTAACGTCTAATACATTGAGCAAATCGAATCCAAGCAGGAATACAATTGACTATTATTTTTGAAATAAAATATTCTTCAACATTAAATTTAACATCTAAAATTTTTAAAATATAAAATTACTAATTGAAGATTAATATTTTAAAACAGATTTTGTTTTACCTGAAGTGTGATACCAATTATTATTGTAAATGTAAAAACAAATCAAGTAGTGAGCGTCTAACAGAACAGTTACTAAACTGTTTAATTGATCAGCAAGCCAAAAGTCAGCAAATCCAACATAATAAAATGGAGCACAAGCCATTCGCCACTAAAATAAAATTTTTATACTCCAAATATTTTATAAAATAAAAAAAAACAACCTATAAATATATATATATATATAATAAACTTACTACTATACGTAACAGCCAAAATCTTGCTTCAAAATAAAATATTTTAATTGGATTGATCATGAGCAAAGTAAATAAAATTATTAAGGACAATGGATTTATATATGCCGGTATACTCAAAGCATCAGAATATAAATAACCTAAAATACTAAGAGCACACACAACACCAAGAATTCCAGCAATTTCAAAAAGGTGTTGTTCAGTGACATGCTTTCTTGGATCCAGTTCGAATATCAAGACATGATTAACACCAGAAGATCGCCATCCGTAAACATTTATGCCCATCAGAAAAAGGAACTCTATTAAAAGGAATGGTCCACGATATAAACGGAATGCTTGTTTAATGTTGGTATTTTTTTCAAAAGTAGCTAAAATAATAAATCAAATATTTTTAAAATAATTGTTTAATCCACAACAATAGGTACAATGTTAACTCACCAGAAATGAAAATTGCAACTAGCAAAACTATAAGGCATCCTAAGTATAATCCTACTTTAAAAGTGGTCCAAGGACTTTGTGTTTCGCCCAGAGGTGGAACTCTAAGCCGTTTCATAGCTTTTTGACGATCACCAAATTCCAGATCGTGAGTAACAGTATGTTCTGTTTCATTAATTAAACGTAATATATCTTTATTTGTATAAAAATGAGATATTTCTACTTGTTCTTGGCGCCACTTTGCACCACTTTCTTTATTCAACAACTAAAACATATAATTTTTTTAAATGTAATAATTTAGTAAAAAAATATCAACACTAAAATTTTTATTGGTGAAAAGAATTAAATACCTTGGTCAGTGTATCTGAAGCTTTTTAAATGTGGGGAAAGTTAAAATAATTTAATACAAATCTTTAATATTCTTTTAAGTCTAAATGCCTACATATATATACCTATAAACTTAATAAACTATATTTATTTCCAATAATATTCATTTTTATTGAATTTAATGCTAATTGTTTTATTATAAAATATAAATAAAAAATAAAACATAAAAAAAAATGACTAAGAGGAAAAGCAGTGGTTCATTTGTCAAACTCAATTATGCCACTACTTAACCAATAAATAGTCTATACTTCACAGCAATTATATTTTTATACACATTTACTTCCTAAGGTGTTATGGTGGCTTATAGACTTAACTCTATGAATTATAAAGATTAATTGAAAATAAAAAATAAAATTTAGAATACTAAACAAAATATGTATATATATATTCTTTTAATTGTCAGATTCCATGTGTCTTAGATAGGCAGTCGGCTAGATTAAGTTCTTAAAGTAAATCACAAAGTTTTTGCCATTTTAGCCTTTATACTCAATTATATGTACTATACTAAACATTGTATAGGTTATGTAGCTGTTAAGAATATATAAAAAGAATATTGTCATATTTATAAGATGTTGTACTTTATTATACGATTAACTAATTCTCATTTAGTTGAATGTAAATAAAAAAAAAAGTAATAAAATTAAAAGAGGATACTTGGATAAATGTAATAAGTTGAATCAATGAATATTGTTTCATACTATTATTCGTTGCAGAAATCTATGATAGTTCTAAGAATGTAATATCTGAAATAATTCATTGAACATTAGTAGTTAATAATAATGAAACATGGCATAAAATAAATAAATCAATAGAAGACATTTAGATTAAGTTTTATAATGATTTAAAAGATAAAAGCAAAGTATGATTATTATGTTTACTGATACATAATTTATCTATGATTATTTTATTAGTACTAAAGAAAAGTGTAAAATTTAAAATTAGTGATAAAAGTATTTAAGTATAATTGTTTTCTCTGAATAATAAAAATAATGATAAATAATTAAAATTTTAATATTTTTTTTTTCATATCTATGAACAAATACAATCAAAATATACGTTATGCAGATAAAATCAACATAATTCAATTAAACATTAAGGTTTGTTGTATAATTAAAATTTGAATATGTACAGTTGCATAAATAGCATAACTATAAAAATATTTATAAATTATGAGGATCTTCTTTTGTAAATGATTGTATTAAATTCTAATTCTTAACTTTTCACAATAATTTAAATACCGAATTCCAGGTTGCATAATGAATTGATTAATTAAATGGTTCAATAAAATTTAATGGACAAAGAATAAACTAATAAATAATGTTTAATGGATTATTAGCTAACTATAAATTTATTAAACGTTAATAAGTTGTTCATGTAATTTGACATAAAGGTATTTATTCTCTTAAAGAAACAACCCATCCATTTTAAAAGGTGTAAGAATTGCTTATTTTAATATAACTTAAACTAGCAAACTACAAAAATAACCATGTGATTTTAGTAATTTCATAACTCATCGATATAATCATATATAATATTACATAAGTATTGACAAAAAAGTTAAGTAATTTAAATTGTAAAAATATAATTAGTTGATTAATTTGTTATTGATAAAAAAATTAAATAATTTAAAATGTACAAATATAATTAGTTGACTAATTTATTATTGACATAAAAACTATATTTGAGTACAAATAAAAGATAGGAAAATAGCTAATAACTATGAACATTTAAAACCATTACTAAAAACAACTTTTTAATAAAAAAAAAATAAAAAAATATACTAGTATTATGGAATTCCAATAAAACTAATTCAACATAATATTTGTCAATCAAATAAAGAAAAGCAAATAAAAAATTATAAGTGAATTAGATTATAAGAAAGAAATTAAAAACTAAAAGATAAAATATAATTGGGTATACAAATTAATGGCAGTAAAAATAATAGAGATCAAGTTTATCAATTAAGTAGGTAATAATAAATTAGTACTAGATTCTACAGGATGATATTAAAATTTAACACAAGAAAAAAGAAATATTTTAATTTATCTAGTAATTTAACAACATAATAATGTGTATTATGAATTTAAAAAATTTAGCTTAAACTAAGATATTATTTATAAAAATACAAACCTTATCGTGTTTTTTCAAAATCTTTTTAAACCCTGTATAGTTTAGATTTTGATAATTCTGCAAAAGTATCAAGCTCAAATAAAACTCGCTAAAAGCTAATTTAAGCTCTTGAACTTTGCGTTGAGGTAAATTAAGTTTATTGGAATCGGACTTTTTACCATAATCTTTCATTTTTATTGCAGTGGATGATAGCAAGTCAAGCTCATTCTTCAATGTTGAAAACTTACGCATGGCTTCAGCAAGTTTTTCTAAGGAATCATCATCATAAATAATAAAAAAATCAAAGTACTATCATACTATTTAGTATTCAATATTCCAAACCAGAGTAGAAAACATTGATTTTAGCCAATTCCTTTTCGCAATACTGTAAAAAATGTTCGTCGAATTGAATGAAACGGCGATGCAGGTTTTCGGGATCTGTGGACTCTACTGAAGGTGCTTCTTCTATGATTTTGTAAAGCATCTCTTTCATATCCTAAATAATAATATGAGGAAAGTAACAGTGAGTCATGAGTATCATGTAAGGACAAGCGAGATCTCAGTATACATACCTCGTAGTTGATATACTGCTTTCGCCATTCTGGCGTGATGTGAGCTTGGAGATGTTCGGCGAACTTCATTTCGGTGGAGATTATACTATGAAAGTAACTTGGGCGGGGCGAGAGATGGGAACAGGAGAAGAATCGAAGCGAATGAAAATAAAAAAAAAAAGGAAAGAGGAAGGATACAAATTAAAAAAGATGTTAAGTACCTAAGATCACAGCGAGTTCAAGTCATGTGTATAACTTCATCGGAAGTACTAACCACCGTAGTACGACCGATCGTGTGCGCAATACGCCAATATCGCAATAATGCGATGTCCGCAGCGCCAGTCGATAACGGAGAATGAAGATAAGTGAACGCTGAACAATGATTTTGAAGTGGTGTTTTTTTTCTTGCTGTGTGCGATAACTGCCGCGCTGATGAGTGATAACCGAACGTTTCGTGTGCACGCGGTCGACGCGGGCAGAGCGCTCGTGCGGACTGAACCGCAACCACGATAGCCGTTCACCACCGCCACCGCCGACGCCGCAAACCTACCAACGGGGCAACCAAGTGTGTCGCACGCGTGGCGCGTCCGGCGATGGCTGTTTTTACCGGCACTATCGTTAGCCATCCGTCGTCCAGCGTCGTCGTTTCCCGTCGGCCGCCGTTGCCGTGCGCGCGTGTGTGTGTGTGTGTGCGTTGGTTTCACGTCCGTGGCCCGTGCGATTACAGCGAGTCGCGACTCGGGACAGTTTTGTCGCGCGCGCGCAGTGGGGGGCCCATGTGACGTTTTTGAATTATTTCCGTTTTTATTTTTGTTTGCCCAGCCGCCGCGGATTTTTGCGGAAGTCTACACTGTCCGTTTGAGACTAAAATCTATATTTAATCGCATTCCAGCGAGGCCCGCTACCGACGTACCGGACACATTTCTTTTCGCTGGACCGTTTGGCCTAGTTTCAAAAAAAAAACCGCATATAGGTATCTACAATATTGCACGAGGTGTAATAATAAATCGTAAAAGGTCGACGACTTGAGCACGCGTGTGTGAGAGTATATATGCACCGCTGCAATCGTTTCGTGTTTGTTTATTGTCCGTGAAACGACTACGACGACAGTGGTTCTCGCCCGGGTGGAAGCGCGCCGCTACCGGAAATGGAAAGAAATCACTATTTGTCGGGTTCGTTTGACGGTCTGTCCAACGGCGATCACGACCACCATCAACGGCAGTATTTCAAGAGCTCGTTCGCCAAGTCCATGGCGCTCGAGACGACTAAGTCACTGAACTTTGCGGATCTAGACTTGACCGGCAAAGAACGGTACAACACCATCGGATCGCAGCGGCAGGTAATTAAAAATAAGAAAATAACGGATTCTCCCTTTTTTGTCATCCCGATCGAGGTGTTATTATTAACGTTATTGTGTATCGTACTATAATATAATATTATAGTATTTTCAGTACTCGAGGCGATCTTTCCATTATGTTGATTGGCTCACGTCGCCGTTTACTGTGTAAAATACTAGTTACGAGGTAATAATATTATTACCCACTTCGTCGTACGTGACAGATAGGCGAAATGGGTTTTGCCCGAGGCGTGGTTCGATGTTTACTTGTGTTATGCCGTTATGCCATTTACCGGTTGCTAGGGGGATGGTGTTAAAATTGAAGCTCAGAAAGAACTTTTCGTTATTATTATGGGAGGTACCCAACATTCCGTTAATTGTGTTAACTGTATAAAAAAAAAAATAATCCACGTCGATTCATGTTAATTAGCGTGTAAACGTGGTTAGATGTTGCTACACAACAATTTTTGTATGCTAATATTAAATATTTTTGCAAGAAGTCGGCAATAAAAAAATTAAATTTCCGGTAGGTGTCTGCTTACCAATATATTTATTATTTCCTGGCGAGTACCGCCTAATGTCCATGAATAGGGGAAGGTGTTTAGTTTACTTATGGATTTGCTTCTATTACTTACGATTTTCACTCGTTTTACATTCTCGTGTTATTTTTACTTTAATTATTACTATATTGCTTATATAATATTAAGGTTTCAATTAAAAATGTATAAATATATTTTATATTTCACTCTGTAAGTACTTATATATATTATTCCAATAAGACCATTAAATACAGTGATTACTGATTAACATCGTAATAAATTTTAATTTTAAAGAATTAGAAATTCCTAATTTTATTTTTATCTATGTATTACGTAATGTTTTGTTCAATTTTATAATATATTGACATATAAATGTCATTAGATTTTACAACATTATTTAATTACAACAATGATTTGGAAAATTAATATTAGTAGATATAATATAATCTAAGTTTTAAATTACTATTTTTTAATACTTTTCCATGATAATTTATTATTTTAAATTAAAATTTTTGTACGTAGTGGGTATTTATCAATTTATTCGGATATAGATCTAAGAATAAAAGCTCTTGAACTAGATACAACATTAGCAGACATAAGAATAGTATGTAAATTAAATATTTGTAACTTTAAATAATGATAAATCAAACGAAATTTATACTGTGTCTATATACTATTGAAAAATAAAGTAGGTATTACCACTTTTTTGTAAATATACTCGAAAAAGAACCTTTTAAATGATCAATAGTATAAGCCTCCCTTTTCCTTTTACTCACTACTGTTTAATTATGACGCAAGAGGTTGAAACTTTAAGACTGTTGAAGATGCAAGATCAAATAACCATAAAAGGCTTGATTTTATTTGACCATGAATCAAATAAAACCGGTTTAATATACTAGCTTTTTCTATGCGTAATCATATAATATTAAAAGTACCCTTTAATATTATGTATATTGTATATATGTATTAAAAATATTGATGGTGTATGTAAAATGTAAATGTATTGGTAATGTCGAGAATAATATTATTTACAAAAAAATTATTAATAGCTTATCATTAGGTATTTATAGAACATTTTTTTTTCTTTATACTATAAAAAAACTTGGATCTTTGGTATGAAGTAGTAGTGTTTATTTCTAATTATAATAATCTTATAGATGAAACTTAAATATTTTTTATCAAAAAATGGTAGTATTTTAAATAAAGATATTTTTTTATAGATATTTCATTATTGTGTTCATTATGATTATTAATAATTATTTACAAAGCACTTGAATAAATATTAAGCTTTTGTTATCGCCTAAAAGTTTAACATTGTTCACACGCCAAACTTTATTTAAATTAAATTGATTTGTGCTTAAACTCAATTTAGATTTTACCAGAAATTTTCGCCAAATAGATACACACGACACATCAGATACTACTAAACCAAGACAATTATTACATATTATAAAATTAATAATAAATTTGAAATTACTTATTTAAAATTTTTGGATTTAGGTTGGTAGGTAGGTAGTGGCTTAATCATTTTAGATACTATTGTTAGTTCGTAGTATGATACCTGTTGAAAATAGGCATTTCTTATATATTGTAGTGTCTAAAGTTCATTACTAGTAAGTACGCATATAATTATCATGCCGACACAAAATACTCGTTTAAAAATGCATACTTTATGAGCACTAATGTTTGTACTGTTTATTGTGATAACTGAGTAAGTGTAATGTATAATTTTATAATATGAGCTATGAGATCTTGAATTAGAAAGTATACGGAGTGTAACGGTTTAAAGGTCAATTTTACAATCGGTTTTGTGTCAAAAAACTTAATAACGATATGGACATTTAGGTAAAATTATTTATTAAAGAGAAGTATTATTTTGTTGTAGATAGGTGGCTGTTATATTATTTTTTCATACCTACCTTTTATTCATAATATTATAGATAGTTATGCTTTGTATGTAATTGTTACCAGTTTTGTCCCTAATATCTATGAACATATTTGCCCTGTGACCTACCTTACCATTTCACTCTTCATTTTTCATAAATTAATTTTATTTACAATTAGGTAAACATAGTAATCAATGAAAATATTATAGAATAATTAACTATTTTCGAAATAGAAGTTTTCTAATTATTATATTAACTTTCTTCTTTTTTTTTTTTAAATAATACCGTATTATATTTAGGGTATTTTTTTTCTTAACATCTGATTAATATGTAAAATGGACAATTTATATGTTAATATGCTATATGTTAATTATTTATAGTTCCAACTTGGTGAAATAAATACTTATTCTTTATTACTTGAGATCTTGGTACCCGCATTTATTGTTTTCGCCTTAAACGTCTGTTGCATTTTACGTTAGTTATAACACTTATAACAGTAAAACATTTTACGTTTAGGAGAATCCATTTTACTCTTAATTTTAATATTTGAGTGAAGTAAATTTTAAAATGCTCTTATATTAAAATTGAAGTATAAAAAAATGTGGTGCACTGTAATTATCCGTGGGATTATTCTTAATTTTTTTACTTAATTTGGTAACGGGCCAATTTATTCCAAAATCAAAAATAGCAGGTTATAATGAATTATTCTGAATGTAAAATTGTTTGTTATTAATCTTAAAATTTTTAAAATTATTGATTGAATAAACAGCTGTCAAAAAAATTAATTTCAGTGGTTATTAAATTTTTATTATTTTTTGTATTTAATTTTTGATTAAAAATAAAACATATTTTATTGTAATTAATGGAAATAACATCATCGAAAATTACAGATTATTTGTTAATTTGTTGTACATTTAATATTTCGTATTGTCTACAACGAATTTCGTATAACACATAGTATGGCACGTATTATACAAAAATAGAGCCTGATTATCATAATATTAATATTATAGTATATTATGTACTAGATCTTTTATTTGGTAATCAGATCTGGACTAAGCCGAAGTTAGGTTTATCGTTTATGTAATATGTATATAGGTTCATAATATTATTAATTGTAATTAGATAAAACCTCGGTTAAAATGGTTTGGTAAGAGCCCGATAAATTGACGGCTATGATATGAAATTATGTGTTTTGATTATTCCAAGCTGGGGCTTTAATTTTTTTTTTAGGCTTCCCATTTGTTAAAAACTCTTAAACATTTTATTATATCTGTGTTTAAAAAATTGCAATGCTCTGATTATAATTTTCTTGCGTGTTTTATCTGGATAAATGTGTTGGATAATATTAATAAATTTTTAACAATGCGTTTTGATAAATGTATTGTTTGTATAAAATTTTATCTTAGTGTATTTCATTAAAAAAAAAAAATTATCCGGACCTGGGCATTATTCCAAAAACACTGGAATATCCTGATTCTTAGTATTAGTATTCTCCTAAAACATTATACCCCGGTTGGAATGATTAAAAAAAAAATATGGACTTATATCTAGACCAGGCTGTAATATTTTTGACCTGTGTAAAACATTTAATTCTTACACAAATTTATATTTTTTATTTTCATTTCAATCCCTAAAATAAAGTGTTTTTTTTTTTAGAATTTAGCTATTTTAATTATAATTTTAATGTAATTTAAAGTTTTCAAATTTCCAACTGTTGAATTTCGACAAATAGATAATATCAATAACATTTATCTAAATTTAAATGTTTTTATTATAATTACATTTTAATAGGTATGTTACTAAATTACTTTTTGATAATTTTTACTATGTTGACATTTTATTACTGTTTTAATGTTAACTAAATGTTACTACATTTTAAAAGGATTAGATACACAATAATAAATATTATAAGGATATTTGAAATGATAATTTTTTGTCTTTATCACTCCTAACAGCCTTCTCATAGATATTTGATATTTATATGTGTTTTATTTCCAACATATCGATTCATTTAGCATATAAATTATTGATGATATAAATTATAATTAAACATTTATCATTATTTTGTATACAAAAAACTTTGAATATTTAGTGAAATTTCTTAATAAGTTTTATTTGGATTCATTCATTTAAGTAGCGTAATGTCATATTATTTTTGCCAACTTTAAATAATTTGGGTTAAATAATTTTTTGGCTAATTAACTGAGATAAATATATGGTATACAATTATGTACGTACTTCGTATAACTTATATAATTATATACATTTATGTAGAAATAGATATTTTTATTTTTTCGTACTAGTTAAAATATTTTTGAAGATAGAACGTTTAAATAGTATTTGAGATGTATTCATAGTGTTAATGTATACAAGTCAACTTATAACCCTCGGATAATGAAATATTTTTACCAAAATAACAATATAAAGGTCCGTAGGAATAGTGATAACATAACTGGACACAATAAAATTAATCGCCACCACGGTAGTTTGTCGGTTTTGATTTTTTTATATGTTTTTATCTTGAAGCACTGCCATTGTTTCCGGTGAATGGCGTACATCAGTACTACCCCGGATATCTTCAACTATATTAGCAATGGTTATAAACTTATAATAATTATATTCCTATTGCATGGGAATTTTCTAGCAAGAAATACTGTTATAATAAAATTCAATTTGAATTAATTTATGGTTCTAAATTATTATTAACTGCACTACAGCAACAAACAAAACCACGATGAGTCAAAAATATTTAGGTATATTCCTAACATATTAAGTTATAATTGTTGAGTTTATTTCGTTGTTTCATTTAGGTAATTTTGTTCTCTGGAGTACTTGGTATAATTAAAGTCTTTGCTGTGATAAGACTAAAAAAATTGTTGATACACTAAAATTATATTTTAAATTTTATAAAATTACTAAATGTCTTGTAAGTGAATAGTAATGTATTGAGTTATGTAATAATCATTAAGTTTAATAATTGATATAATCATAACAGGATCACGATAAGTTCGAAATCTATAATTTATTACAGATAATATGCCCTTGTTTTTAAGCACTATGCAAATACAAGAAAGTATCTACATGCATTATAATACTCTTAGATCAAGTACTTTTACACATATGAACAATTATTCTATAGTGTTATACGAGTATGTACAAAAAATAAACGAAAAATTAAAACTTAAATTAAAATGCAGTTTTTTTAGTCTATATTTATTAAAAACTATTCGATACTTCAATTGTTTTCTTTTTTTTTTAATTTCCATAAAAATTATTAAATAAACTTTCGTTCCCGTTTAATTAATGCAATGAATAATTAGACCATAAAATTATCGTGGTTTTATTTTATTATTTTTAACGCGTTTTATGAATGCGTTGTTACTTGTTTAGCCCGCAGAAATTACTGACGCGTCCTCTAGTCTGAATTGTACAAACAGTATATTTTACGTGTATTCATTTCCACACTAATTTCGTATGTAACGCCCGTATATTATACAATTTTCTTCAGAAAGAACATAATTCAAATACCTATGACACACAAATGAATAGTTGATGAAATATGATTGTTACATCAGACTAAAAAATAGCTAATACTCGAATCGTCTTTACCACTGTAGATTATTATTACTGTTATTGAAATTATTTTGTAATAATTTAGATAACTTTCTCCATAAAAACTGTCAAGTAGTCTTGATACTATTCATATATTTTCTGACACTACTATTAAAATTCCATTGTTGGCGGTCCATTTTGTGAACTATGAGTATGCAAATCACCTATATATATATATATATATTTTAATATGTACAGATTTTAAATGAAAATATTGTGCCATTGATAAACTAACTAGATTAATATATGAAATATTATGATTTCTAGGTAAATAGAAGACTTTCTCAAAGGTTTGAAACAAATGAAAACAATGAATCATTCGAATTTATTAAAAAAGAATACAAAAATTTACAAAATGTAAGTACCTTTCTATTTAATTTATAGTTTCTTAAAAATATCTTATTCGTTATTCAATGAATATAAGTAATTTATTATTATTACTTAAAAAAAAAAAATATTTTCATTTACAATAATATTGTAAAATAAATGGAAATCCAATAAGTAATCATAAGTACCTGAATGATGTTTATAAATAAATAGGTTGAATTTTTTTTCTACGTACATCCGTACAAACAATATAATTTTAAAGTGGTCTGCAGCAAGAAATCGTTTTTTCATTATTTTATTATTATGCAAAAAAATCTAGATTAGTTACAAAAAAAAAAAAAAAAAAAATCGTCGGTAAAATCGCTAGCTTTCCAATTGTACTACTCATTTGTTTATTTATATTGTAATTTATAAACTAAAAAATAAGTACACCATACATACCGTGCATTGATTCAGTATGGTTTATTTATTTTTCCGGTGACTGAATATAATAATAACTAGTCGAAAATAGGTGATACTATACCAATAATAGTGCAATCTGGCCAATCGATAGTAGGGGAGCTAAAAGTCTGTTGTCGATGTACTGAATTTCACAGAATTCGTTATAGTATTAACTATATTATTTTCTTATCCTTCTTAAAATCATAAAACAAATCTCTAATGTATAACTAGTGTAAGAATTGGATTTTTAACCTTCAAAAATTTCAAATATTACATTAAACCAAAAATGTGTGTATTTGTTTGTTGCATGCAATAAATTTTATTCGGGTGAATGAAATCAATAGGTACCTTGCCGCGACCGTACCTATATGAATTTCTTTAAAAACTAGAACACCATTGAACAATCACTACACATTTTTCATTATTTATCACTAAAGTGTAACTTCTTCTACTTTTGCATTGTACTTGCTAGTCGATATTAGCAAGGTCTATTGCATCAGATCGTATTATATTTATCTTGCTGAAAGTGAGATTGTTATAAAATTAATAATAATCACATAATATTATAATAATAATGGCACATTAGTGAAAAATAACTATTCTAAAGAAATATACTTTCACTGAATATTATTGGCTCTTTGTCAATTGTTATAGAATATAGCCTACTTTTGATGTTGTTATTGTTATTGCAGAATAAAATTTGATCAATATTTCTGATTTAAAAGTGTGAAAAATTAATTAATCACAAGACAAAACAATGTTTAATAATACTTCAGAATACACCTATCGTGGTGTGATGATTATTATTACTTCAATTTTAATTATTTTTGTTTTAGTAAAAAAAAAAAATGCTTTCTCTCTAGCATTCGATCAATGCCCGACTTGTATGGTTTTGTTACTTATAATGTCAGTCTGTCACAAATTTCATGTTCATGCATATAGAGTGTATAATTACACGTATAATACAGTCAGAGCATAATTCCTTTAAATGTTGTTTGGCCATTGTTATTTCATAATAGTATGCTTCAGTACACGGTAAACCTATATTATTATTATTCCGATTCATTATCTGTCAAATTCTTTGTGGTTACTTTTTATATGTTTTGGTACAATGTCAACCGTGTTTCAACATATTTATTAATGGAAGTGGTTAGATTAGTCCTTACTGGGTTCGTATCTACGTGTTCATGATATTTAAAATAGGCATTTTATTATTAAATCAATTCCAACGTTATCAATATGTAAATAATCTTTTTTAATCCATATAATATTTTTTTTGCGCCTTGCCTAAACTAGTTATCTGAAATAATTAAACTAAGAGCATTACATTTATTTAAATATTTATATTTATGATTAATACACAAAAATAATCTGAGCAACTTAAAACATATTTTGTGTTGTATATATAAATATGACAACAGCCAATAAGTACTGATACTGAACTAATAGATGCTTACATTTTTTAAGTACGCACTTAAATCAAATGGTGTGCACTCACATGACAATCGTATTATCATATTATATTATTGTATACTCATTTTAGTTAGAATACCTATATTTATAATACTTACCTATATTATATTTTAAATTAATATTATGAAGAGAAAGTTACATTTATTATATCATATAGATCACGTTTTTTTATATATTAGGTTAAGATTATTCATACTTATACCATTTCGTTATTTATCCTTCGCCCTATAGTATATTAACTAAAATTAGGATATTTTGCGTTTTGAAAATTGAGTAACCTGTTTAACATTTTGTGCGCACAAGTAGTAAACCCAGTTTCAGAACGGTACAGGATTTACACATGGTTTATCAACCATGACTGCCCGATTATTTTTGTTTTTTTTTATTTTTATAATAAACAAAAATAAAAAGTAAATAATTCGTCGTCCCGCTGTATAATCTCCCCCCAAAAACCATTATTGCTAAGTACTTTTTGTGTTACCCCGTGTTGATTGATTATAAATTACCATTTAGTGTTTTATTTTTGCTAGCTTTACGACGACTTGCGTTCCAAACACGAGAAACTAATGCAGAAAGATGCCATTGACCAAGCACCTTGCATCGAGTTGACATTGGCAAAATCCCAAGTTGACACTCTTCAGTGGCAACTAAAACAGGTACATGTTATGTATATATGTATTACAATATATTTATAAATAATTTTTTTTCCATAATCACATATAGTTTTATTTTACATAAATAACTTTTGAAAATTGTTTACAGGTTGAGGCGAGTAATCAAATGTATAAAGCAGTGTTGGAGCAAGTATCTAAATTTTTAGAAAAAGCACACACATCTTTGAATACAAACCTCGATAAACCTAATTTGCCCATTAAGAATAGGTAACTATTATTAAAATAAAATTTATTAAATTCTCCAAGAAGACATTATAATTGCTTTGTTGTGTGTCTTGAGTAATTAATAATTTTAATATTTTTATTTACCTAATTTATTTACAATAATTATCTAAATCTAGGAGACCATCACTGAAGAGTAATAGAGGTGAGTATACAGAAAAGCTCTCACTAGAAGCATATAGATTGTATCGCACCGTTCAGTCTATAATTCATACTAAAGAACCAGATCTAGTCCAACACTTAACACCATGCTATAGTACATTATTTGAAAAGAACAGTAACTCTTCAGTAAGTGTTTGTTTTATTTCTAGTGTTCATAAAAATATAATCAAAATTTTTAACTATTATTCAATCCTCAGCTTTGCAGTTGTGATTCTTTAATGGCTGTTTGTAATGGTGTAAAATGCTTGGAAGTTTCTAGTAGCAGTTCAAATCACAGTGAAACATCTACTAAGGGATCAGACTTTTTCAAAAAAGAAACTAAGCAGAAGAATGTCATAGAAGATGAAAGTGGTTTCTCATCAATCAGTTCACATGATAATAGTAATTCTCCTACTTACCCTGAATTGGGATTGCCACCAACTGGACATTTCCCAATCGATAAAGTCTCAAGAAGGTGGAGTTCTGTGTCTACTACGCCTATTAATCAATCATTTAATTACCACACGACTGGAAGTACAAATACTTCGCCACCTATTAAAGTTTGTTGGGTATAAGTTTACAATTAAGTATACAATATAACATATTGTGTATATGAAAGACTTATGTATTCAGTAATTTATTTTTATTTATTGTTTTCATTAATTTTAATTAATTTGTTTGGAAGTATTAGCTGTAATTGGAATCCTTAATTTTATATCATCTTATATTATGTTTTTCATAATCTTTGTTAATTTCTAATGACTGTCACATTTTTTTATTTTATTTTTTATTTTTGCTGTTCTAATTTACATATTATTATAGCTTTATCCTTCACTGTGTTATGCTTAATAATTTATCATTAGTTAATTCAGTATAATTTTATATTTTATATATATTTATTTTTTTTTTTTTTTTTTAATTGAAATATATTAATAATAGGATGTATAAATGTACAAATATATATATATATATGTTTATATATTCCTCTATGAAGCGTTTTCTTTTTCTTTTTCAATTTATTCTGCTCAATAGTAGTTTTTATAAAAAATATTAAATTTGTAAATGTATTTTTATTTCATGTTCTTTATTTTTCTAATGATGTATATGCTTTTAAAACATGAATTTGATAAATATTATTCAAAACAATAAACAGAAATTGTTTGATTTGATTATTTGGCTTCAAGAAACATTTCCTGGACATAATTAATAAGGGTTAATGATTCTTAAGAATCTTAGCCATTTCTATTAATATGGTATAAGTATACAAATATACTACCATTTATCATACTTTTAAATAACAGTATTTAATACTGGTTGAATTATGCTTAGGTTCAAACATAAAATTTTAAAATATTTGTTGAGTAAATACTTAACTTATTAGTATTATAAAAATATAAATATATATAGGTATTAAATAACAGTACCTATAAAGAACAAAAACAAATGTCAGCCGTTGTTTAGTTTATTATAATTTTTTTGTTATTTCGATGAATTAAATTTTATGCATATCAATGCAAATATTCTCGCTGATTTTGATATTTAATGTTCTCTAAATATTTTTATCATGATATTGTGATAATTCGTTCGTCTGCAATTTACACAGTGTAATGACTGTTAAATATTATATTTTCCTCCTACACACTATATTATTATGTCAGGTTAAAGCGTTCTCCGTTACATATTTTATACGCTGATGATAAAGTGTGAAAACGATTTATGTTCGATTTCTCCCCCTTCCCTTTACGACCGCAAACAAAAAAATCGTGTACAAAATATCATCGTGCCGAGTCTTATGCGCGTTTTCCTTCTGCTCTCTCCGTTTCTGATGATCTATATCGCGTTCATTTGACCACTGTTTCGCATTATGTGCGACTATTCAAATCTCCATCATAAACAATACTTGAAACAACCTGCTCTCTGTCCCACATCCACTCGTGTCCATCAACAACCGTGACAAAACGTTAACGAAAATACCGCGTAATAACTGATAAAAAAGAAAAATACATAATATATAATGTATACCTATGTACAAAATGAAATTAAGAATTGCATTATTTGCGTCCTAGGTTTTTCTTATATGTCTGTGCATTAGGTAAAATATTATTAGAATATATATTTATACAATGAATTATATATGTAGAGCTGTATGTATAAGTATTTTTCCCGTCGTTAGGCGACAATCAAAACTGTTTGTTAAAAACGCGTTTTCTAAATTTTAGTTGTAGTTGTTGACCGTAAGACTTAAATTGAATGACTGTTATAACTTGGTGCCAGAAGAAGATACGGCGTGCGTATGCAGCGTGCAAACGCATCATAGATTGCAGAGGCAGAAACGTCGAAATAGATCATGACCAAGACAACGATAATCGTGTAGATTTAACCGAAACAGGTATGTAAGGTAGGTTTACTTAATTATTAACACCGTTAATTTAACTTCTGTTATTTTGTCATTCATTATAGAAATACCTACAGGTATGTAAATTAAGAGTAATCTGTTTAACTGGCCACACTTTATTTTTAATTGAAATTTGGAGAAAAAATGTTTGAAGTAGGTATCAGGTATCCACTACACTTATAGAAAAATCTAATTTAGGTCATGACTTAGACAAGTAATTTTCTGATTGTTATTGTCAAAATCATATATCTATATGATCTATATTAACTTATAGTCTATATTATCTTTAAAATTTAATACTAACAGAGAACAGTACATAAAATAATGAACTTACATAAACAAAAAATAAAAAACGATCATAATCTTAAAAGATTATTTTAATATTTTACCAAGTTTATTTTAAAAACTTAAATATATTTGGTCTTATGTTTTTAACTTTTTTAGTGATTTAAATTCATAGAATTGAAGTTGTGTTATCAATTCTAACGGGTAAAACACGATTGCGTACGTCTGTTATCGGCGATACCTTTTTAAGCTACACGATTCCGTACGATTTTACCTGATATTTAACTACAAAGTTTTAAGTGTTGTTGCCAATGTTCTTACCGGTATACAGGGCCCTCACAAGGGGGCCCTGCCGGTATATATACCACATATAACCAAGGTTGAGATTTTATGGATTTTGTATATTTCTTATGAGATGCTTAAAAAATAGCAAAATAAGCTAAAAGTGTGTTTCATGATACAGAGCTTAAATTAAAAATTTTATTTTGCTTTTTTAACGTGTTTTGTGATTTTTTTTAATTTTTAGTGATTTTTTTTGGATTTTTTGAGACATTTTTGCATTTTTAACTCTTTTTGAATTTTATGAAATTATATTTTTTGTCAATTACCAGGTAATTTTTAAATTTTATTTATTATTTTATTATTAATTTTTTTTTCTGAATTATTATAGAGCTAAATGTATTCGATATTTATTATATATTATATTATTATGTTATTATTTATTTTATATACGATGAAATTAGTAAATTTGACAACATTGCATACATTTTCATACGCAATCGTGTTTATTTATTTTTCTTAAAGGTACTTTTAACCCATCTACAAACATACACAATCGTGTTGTCGAAAAGGACAAACGTACACAATTGTGTTCTACCCATTCTAACGACAGCCTTTAAAATTGTATTTACAAAAAGATGTAGATTAGTAGACGCATATTATAATAGTTAATGACATTTATAAAATTATTTAATATTTAGGTGTATAAATATATTATATTATTGATTGTACTTATATTACCCAAAATGATTGTGTCGCGACAACAGAACGAATTCAGTAGCTTATGAAATATTTTTTCGTTAAATAATGATTTTAAACGTGTACCTACCTATATAACGTATTGTATTATGCACTACCTATATACCTAAAAATATTTTTAGTATTATTACCGCAGAAATAACGATAAATCAAAATATCCAACTAAACAACCAATTTTAACGGTTTTCTTTTGTACACCCTTGACACAAGTTACGGATTTTTGAACGTTTATTATTAGCTGTGGCATTCAATCAAAACTAAATTTTTATTTCATCTCGTAAAATATTAATTATGAAATACTCATTTAATTTTTCTACTGATTTATAATATGAACATCTGGCGACAAAATAGTATTGTTTTAAATGTCAATTCAGTTTCAGACATATAAATCAGTTAGTAGTTATGAGCCGCTACATAGGATTAACGTTTTAATAGGTAAATAATCGTTGGACAAAGTTCAAGTATAATTAGGTGCCCATTAAATATCTACAACATAACTATACACATCTATTAATAAATAATATAGTCTTGTACACCAACCTTGTACATTAAGCAATTAAGATTAACTGGTCCATTAAACTATTAGGCTTTTAAGTTATAATAGTGTATACTATGTAATCACTAATTATAATCGATGTCAAAATTAAAATAATAATTAATCGGCAAAGTTTGGTATAGGTCAGGTCAATCGATATGTAGACCGCACATAATCGAATCATGCGATGTGCGGTTGATCATACAGTGGCTTATATACTCGCATGGTTGTGGACGCTGTATTCGTTGGTTTAGTTAAAAATATAATGTCTTTGAACTTGAATAATAAAAATATATACCTGTACGGCGTACGCCGTAGGTAGGTCTGTACTCTATATAACGCACGGTGGATAATACGTATAGAAAATTGTTACGTAAATACTAAATTCACTCACTGTATAGTCCGTGTTTGATGTAACAATGTAATAAGTACACGACCTATGTATGCGCATCGGATCAAAACGACGTAATTATAATCGTACGCACGCAAATTTTGTAGAATGTAAGGACATTATAATATTTATTATACGTTTTTAAAACGCATGACTCGGATTCAACAGGCGAACGATAAATTCAAAAACATAAGCCCTTGAAGGCTCTATGCTAATGTAATGATGGCCAATTCCGATTTGTTTAAAAATTCATAGCTTCAGGTTTTATTTATATTTATATACGACTTTGAACACTGAAGCCGTTCTATCTGCGGTCAAAGCGATGCTGCATCACGATCTTCAGGCTAAGTTGATTTGCATGCAAATTCTTGCCATGACTTAACCACGATTGTATCTTAAATAACTGTTTATATATTATTATGTACGTGCTACTATGCTAGTCGATTATAAAATTGATTTCCATCCGGTATGGCATTATCCGTACAGACCACACGGGATACATATTCATTTCACATTTCATACATAGGTTTATTAGGTATATTAGATTGGTATACAATTTGAACGAAGTTCTAATATATATATATATATATTTAAATAATAATTTATACTAAAAAACACTAATATGCTTATTGCTTAGACAATGAGTAAAACTTTAAATTTTATATTTTATTTTGTTATTATAATTATTTTCTTCTTAGCTATTACTTATTATTTATATCAGAAACGAGTAGGTATGATCCACATCTATAAGTAGTAATTTTAAAGCACTTTCCATACGTTCTTATATAATAATATATAGATAGGCGTATATAATATTATTGTTGGTAATAATGTATAGGATACGTAATTGATGTTACTGTATGAAAAAAGATTATAACATTTTTAATTTATGTTTGATGATTAGGTAACTTTAACGTTTCATTAATCTTTGATTAAACTTTTGGTGGGCGAAAAGCAGAGACAAAACTGTTTTAGTTTTAAATTTATAACAGTTAAAAATAATAATTTATGTTTCAGAATAAATAATTTTAACAAAAATAATATAATATAATTTCAATATGGTTTGTAATTTTTGTATACAAATGACTTGAGTAGGTAGTTCAATGCATTTTAATTCCTAATATGTACATCATCTATATCAAAGTATTATGGGTAGTGATATCATTATTGATTTTCTTAAATTGGCTGATACTGGAGAACATAATATTATGAAGATTATATAAAATACATAAATAATTACATACATATGACTTAAAAAGGTCAAATTAATTTAAACTATAATAAGAACTTGCCGTTTTGCTGGAAAAACTTCAAGATCATTTTTTACGACGCTAATATTAAATTATTTATACCTTTCAGAAAAAAAAAATTGAATTTTTCATTGGAATAATGATAAATGTTATAGATATAGAATAAAATCACAAACAATATTTTTAAAATGATAACGTATTTGCTATTATTTTTTATGTTATTATTATATTATATGTTTATTACTTAGGTATTATTAATTTCAAATTGTGTTTATTGAAATATTTTTAATAATTTTAATACAATTGTTTTACTCCTCGTTTAATTGTTTTGATGGGTTTCCGTCATGACGTTATAAAAAAACTTTGAAGCCCTGTTTATTATTTTTTAAATAATAGAATTGAACAAAGTATATTAAATAGGTTCAAGTCTGACTTGTTTTCAACGGATATGATAATTATTATTTTGTTTTAAATATTTTAGTGAAATTGAAAACGCATTCACTGGAAATCATTTCCTTGTGTTTAACTGTCGATGCGTATATTTATTAAACTAAATTATAATAAAAATAAATAACATATATTTCATATAATATAATTTTATGTTACCACAGAATTTCAAATTATTCTCGTGACTCGTGGATATACCTAAAGCTTATTTTACGGTTCGAGTTATCGACAATGTTCGATTAGTTTAAAAAGTTCATTTCGGTACAAAATATTTTTTATGTACAATATTGTAATAATGTATGATTCACATCACGTTGAAAATATGAGATGATTCTTTCAACAGTTATCTTAGCCGTTTCTGGGTAAACCAAAATTTGGGTTTCGGGATTTGGGATATCATGTTAAAATACACAATACAACGCAATCGCCTCTGTTTCCAGCTATCCATATTATTACGTCTCCTTTATAGTTTTACTTTTTCATAATATTCTGTAGGTACTATTGTTACTATATTATGTCGGAAAACGGACGTGTTATACGCTTACAAGCAGCTGTTGTAGTCATAATACACCATAATACACAACCACTTTGATATTATGATCTATAGACTATATTACATTGTGTGATGTGTATGTGTATGTGTCAAGAGTACAATAAATAACTGCAGTCAGTCACCGTGACCAAATCTAACGATGTGCGTAGCAATATAAACGAGTATAATACATCACAGGCGGCAGAAATGTTTTTGTTTCATATTATTAATTTACGACCAATCGCAGTGGTTTTAATGTATGCATCGTTTCTATACCACAGAGCTCGATCTAGTAACAATATGTATACATAATTGGCGAGTCGCAGGTGTTCACTGTGTTTAGGACATTAAACAAATTTAATGTATCTGTATACGCATATTTAAATCTATTACATTATAATATAATGCATTTATGCTGTATTTCCACAACTAGTATACTTGATCAATATTTTGTACTGGAGGTACTTATATTGCCGTCGAAAAAGTAAAGGTACTTATATAATATTATTGGTCATTAGTGCTCTTACTGATGATTACCGGTAAATGTGGCAAAAGTTAAAGGAATGGTTAATATACAAATGAATGTAGGTACTTATCAAAGTAAAAATTTTGAACACTTTGTAGTTATAGTATTACTATAGTAGTTTGTGATTACTTGTCTATTTGATTAATGATGTACTTGACAAGTACACGAGTCGTGAGAAACTGACTTAATACTAATGACTCTGCCGCCTACTTGCTTCGCTCACCGATCCTCCTCACCCCTACCAACTTGACTGAGGTATTCGTCATTGGTTTTTGGTCATTCAAGGGTCACCTCATATACTTTTTGAAATTTTATACTTGCAATTTAAAATATTTAAGAAAATATATTTTGGTAGATAAAATATACAAATTATTAAATTTATAAATCAGAGAGGTTATTTCTTAAAAGCTTAAAAATGTAGTCGTTCAATTTATTTTAAATAGTGTTAATTCCAACATTCATTACACCTATTAAAATTAAATAAGATATTTGAAACAATAAATTATTTAAACATTGTATATTGTGCACCTTATAAGATAATAAACAATAGATTTTAAAAACTAAAAAGAGTTTAAGGATACCATAAGAGGAAATAAATATAATTTTATTTTCATGCTAATAATAATTATTATTGTTATTGTTGCGTTTGTAAACAGCGAGAGAACGAAACCCATCGGCTCAACTGCAGGCTATTGGTACTTTGTCGCCACAGCGTCGCCGACCGGACATCCAACCGATAGGCATGCAACGATTCGCCGACCCAGAAAAAGTAGCGGCTGTGTTTAAGGCGTGCAAGGAGCTCCAGGTGCCGATTGGCACTGACAATGGCAGTGATCCCGCGAAAGAGATCTGCAAGAATACAGCTCAATCCAAATTGAATAAAAATAATATCGATAATGCCGACTCGCAGCGACAATAATATCGACAGAGCATAGTATAAATTATAAAATTTACACTGAACATAATATTACATTTTAATAATAATTATAATATTGTGACGCATATCAATGTTGATTTCATTTCTATTTCCGATAAAAAACGTAAAAAGTAATCAAAAGCAAATACTGATAAGTTAATTAAAATTGTAGCAAATTTAGTTTGGTATAGAACGGCAAATTGTTAAATATACCTCTGATTGTAAGCTATATTGGAAATGATTTCCGACAATATAATTTTACATAATCTCATTAAAAATGCGTGTCACCAAAACGCGCATGCGTGCAATGTTCCTAAGATCAAAGATGATGCTGTTGGCCATATTTTCCGCGGCGTCATCAACGGTGACTTTTGATTCTATCCATTTTCGAATTTTTGTGAATACTTATCACAATTATAATAATTGTAAATTTAAATAAATGGTTACGGGTAGTCATGTAGTTTGATTGTAGATTTAAACAGGAGTAATTTATTAATAGATATAATTATACTCGGATAATATAATACATAGAATCAAAATAATAATATAATTGAAATAGATCTAGAGAAAAATATATTGAATACATGATAACTATATTTTTTACCCGGTAGAAACGTTAAGATTTTATAATATTATACACTTTTACAATTTGTTTATTTTTTTCAAACATTTTGGATAATTCTAAATATGGTGTTTGTATAATTTATTATTGTAATTAAACAACATTATAACACTGATTTAAATGTGTGCGTTTTTGATATTTCGCGAAATTGCCAATATCCTATCAAATTACGGATATGGTTTTTACTTTTAGAGTCCAATACCCTAGAATCTAGATTATAAATAGATACAAATATTTAATCTTAATTACATTAATTTATTGAAGAAAAATAATAATTTAATAATAATAATAATAATAATAACAGGGAATAATAATAATAATACGTATAAAATATTAAGTTTTTAGATATAATTATTAAAATGTATATACTATCAAATACAGTTAAAATTATTTATTTTGTAAAACACGTAATTTACCTGCATTCTGTATCGTTCTTTTCCAATTCTCCAGTTTTCTATTTTGCACTCTTTAAATATATTTGTTAATAATTCAATTACATACATGCAATAACAATGGCATTTTGATTTTTTAAGGTATGTATATATTTATAATCAGTGGTAGTATTAATAAAATTACTACATGTCGTTTACTTCATAACCAGTTTGAGATCAAATAAAATGCAAACCGGTTTCAGAACTTTATTATTTTGTATATTTATTTTTCTTATCATTAAATATTGTATGATAGGTTTCTTTAGATTTTCCGCTACATGGAAAATTTATTAACATTTTTAATTTGCAAATTATTATAGGAGATACATAAAATGTATTCCATGTTAAACCATTTTTTAATGTCAACTGTTTTTTAAAAACTTACAAATATACTGTTTTATAAATAGAACAACAATAATACTTTATCTAGTAGACAAAAAAATCTTTAAGACAATAATATAAATTCATCAGATACAACCAATTTCGTTTATTCTGTGATATAACAGTTGACGCCGTTGACGGCATTGCTGTCTATCGACGAAAGTGAGCTGCAGACGTTTCTTTGGTACTTCTAGAAAAATTCAAAACGACGATTATAGATGGCGCTGTCTATTATCGTCCGAATACGTTGACTGAATATTTAAAATCCTATTTGCCAGCAACAGCTAGATTACGTGTGACGTTGTTCCAAAACTTCATACACAAGTACAGAACCATCCTAAATAAGTAATGAATAATGACTTTATACAACTGTTAATTAAAAAGTACATTTATTATATTGTTTGAATTTAAAGAAATTATATTATTTCTATTAATTTATCATTAAATTTGATTATTAGGTATAGATTTCATAATTTTAAACATTTTTTTTTTCTTTAAAACCAAAGTAACGTGTTTGAAAAAAACGAGATACAAAACTAATTCGTGTATTTTTTATATTAACTTATATAAATTTCAAAAAATCAGAGATTTAAGTTTATCAAAAATAAAAGAGTTCATGAAAAATAATGTAAACAGCGGTATAGTACATTAATACATATTTACTAGGGAACCATTAACCATTATCACAGCAGAAATTAAAATTATTTTTAGTTTTTGACGTTTTTGTTGTAGTTTGTGATAGTTTTAATAACTGTTTCGATCGTTTTAATGAAATCTAATAAATATTTAATAATATTACATATATATATATATAAAAAAATTACACAAAATAATATTTACTGACACGAGAATCAAATTAAGCGTTACAGGTTCTAGAAAACTAACAAAAAATGCATTTGTTAAGTTCCTCAATTAGACAATTATTTTGTAACGAAGAAACTTGAAAACTTGTCATTTATGTGTCAAATGTAATATTAAATTTTTGTAAATTGTTTTTGTAATTTTAGACACATTTAACTTTAAGGAGGTAGCATTAAAATTATACATATATTGTCAAAACTTAAAATATGTCTCTGATTGTAACTATAGGTATCTAATGAAAACATTAAGCAAAAGCCCCATTGAATGAAGATTTTGTAAATTTAAGTTAATACAACAAATTGAGATGAATTTACTAATATTCAAAAATATTTATATTTTAACAACAATATGACAATACGAGTAAAAAAATTTAAAATGTTCAACTTCAGTGACTAAATTTTAAAAATTTTCTTTGACATTCATAATGTGACGAAAGGTATACCTATTACCTATAGGCTATAATCTATAATTTTTCATTTTTAATCACGTTAACAACACAATTAAATTAGTAAAACGGCGTAGTGAGTAGGCTATTTAGGGGCACTAATGAATTTATGAGCAATTTTTTTTAGTTCCTTATCACAATAATTCTACATCATACAATAATATTTTGTATTATGATTATAATATATTAATTATATTTTATTCGTTTACAGAAAACTATTATCGGAGCAAAGTTTTTACATTTTAATCATTTACATATATTTTTAATCATATTTTTTTTTTTTATTGAACTGAAGCCGGAAACTAGAGCCGTTAGCTGTTGTAGGGGTTATGAACTGTGGTAGGGGTAAGGTTGGTAGGGAAGGTTGTTATTTTTTACGATTATTACGGTTGTTACGGTTGATAGTAAACATGTATATGTGTGGCAAGGTTTTTAACCGCTATGAACCCGGGTGGTCAAGTAATGGCTACAGCTAGTAGTTGTGGCTGTTACTTACTCCAAGTCGCATTTCGCGACTGACAACAGCCAACGCGCCATGACAAACCACAATCATAATAATTATCTTTATTTTATAACCTAAAAATTTGTTATCGACCCTTGAAATTTAAGATTAAAGAAACGTTTAGAAGCGTTTTACAGTTTTAAAAAATGTGTTCTATAAATTATTATTATTGTATGCAGATTTTAAATTTTAACATACGCGCAATCCTATTTTAAAATTAAAAAATGTTTGAATATTATTAACTATTGTTATGTAAAAACAAACAATAACTAAAAATTATTACCGATGATATTGAATTGAGTCCATGCTACTTTTATGTATTTGAATTGAGTCCAGCTTATTATCTTAATATCTTTGAATTGAATCTGATAGATAAAATGTCATGACTACCTATATAGCCGGTGACTCACAATTAGTTAATACTTACCTACTTAATTATAAAATTATTATGAGTGAAAAATGGAGTGTATGTTTAAATATTCACCCGTAAAATACTTATTTTTCCTCAAACAGTTTTTAATATTTTGTTGTATTTCCAAATATAATAAGATAAGTATGTACTTGAAATTTCCAAATTATTATTTTCAATACTTACATTATAATAAAATGTCCAACAAATTTCAACTCTTTTAGAAATATTTATAAGTATGACCAATTTTCAATTTATTTTTAGTAATTTTCTATAACTGTCGATTAAAAAATATTCTTTAGTTAAAAATTATATTTATTTATTATTATTTTTAATATTTTTAAATTAATTGACTCTTTATTTTCATTATTACAATTAAAAAAGGGACTCAACTCGAATAACCTAACAATATTGGTCGGACTTAACTCCGATAAGTGATAACCCAAAAATATTTGCGGGACTCAATTCAACGTCAGCCGTTATTACGACGTCAGAACTTAAAGTAAACTTGATTTTATCACATTCTTTTAGTTTTATTTTATTTTTGCATTTATATCTCTACGATTTTTTGATTAAATCAGTTTTACGGGTATGATCACCACATCAGACATTAAAAGGAACTTTTCTCGAAATATTTAGTGAAAACGTATTACTTTATAATTGTGATCTCGTAATAGATTTTTTTGCCAATTACTTGAGTTAATGCTGTTAGGACTGCGTGTTATTGTCCTACCTCGGGGTATTTCCTTGCTACATTCCACAAGTCAATAGACGTTTGTACTGCCAACCTAGTATGCGCTTTCTGTATTACTGAAACACCTATACATCTATGTGCCTCCTTTCGAATAACCAGTTTTGACATGTTCAGAGCATGAACTGAATTAGACAACGAGCATTACATATTAATTATAAATATTGTTATTTTAATATAAAAAATCTCAGCCACTGCCGTGTTTATTCGAAAATAATATATGCGCAATCTAAGACGTTACTTTTCATTGCATGACTACTTTTAAAGTATTTATTGTTGCAAAACGGTATTATATCATCAGTTCTAATGCCTGCGCTATAATAAAGTATCTGGTATGCGCAATAAATATTAATTAAAGAGCGTCTCACCGCATGTTTGTCCCGGTCAATAACTCGGTTGGTAAATAAATGTATTGCCGTGTATGTGTGTCACTCCAAAACTATGGCTGACGTTTTAACTTATAGTTCGTAATACATTGCGATTTACTTAAACACAGAATTAGAGAATTACAATTTGTATTTACGTTTCACAGAAGTACGTGTCTCATCATTGACCATTGTTATGCAAATATTTAAAATTTGACTTTTAAAAGTCACTTAAAATATGGTATTTGCCAACAATAACCTATTT